CAGCACGAGAAGATAAAATTCGTATCCCCAAGCGGCCATGTAATATCCTCTATTTCTCCTTACTATCTGCCATACAGTTATTATGATGTCAGTTGGGAGAGATTGGTATTGGATCGAGGAAAAATCCCATGATTGATATTCTCCTTTATTCCAATCACTTGTTTGCTTGATATATGTGCGATATTGACCAGGCGTGAGGTCAGAAGGGCTGGATATTGGCCGAGTTCTTTTTTTTCACATTTTTATGGACCGAGACGAAGTCGAGGTCGTTAAAAATGCGAAAAAGAACGAGGCTAATATCCAGCCATCTTGACCAAACAAGCTTGGTTACTGAAGGATTTATTATATTGCAAAAAGATTTCGCTTTGTGATAATCAAGAATGACTTGTTTACTTCGAGAGCCGAGAAAGAGAGCCAACTGTGTTGGTAGCACAAAAAACTCACAAGAGTCGTTTCTTTCTTTTGACTATCTTCTGCCACTTTTTGCGTTTCCATCGCCGACATTGTCCAAGAATTACGAACGTAGTTGTAATTCAATTTTCTTCATGCGCGGGATCAATGCGGGCAATCCCGAGCGGGTAAGATGTGCCCATCTTGCCCCCTCGGGTAGCCAATCAGAACACAGGAATCCCTTCATCTTTCCCGCGGGCGCTGCGAGTGATTTAATAATGAATTTATATCGGAAGGAGCAAATTATGTCTTGGTCACCCGTGGGATTTGAAGGGTTAAAGGGGCCAAACTAATTACCTGGAACAAGGATATAGAGATGTAAAGAATTGATTTATTGTTTCCTTTAGGACTTTATTACAGCTGTTCCTCTCGCCGAATGGACTCAGAAGCTCTTGCTACCAGCAGCACAGTGTATCAGTAACGGTTTCTCATGCATACAGTCAGCTTATTTTACTCCCAAAGATGCCGTGAAGATAGAGGCTGAAGGCAAGTTGAACGGTGGCGATAGAGCCCCTTACTACATCATGGACAGAAGGGCGAGACTGAAGCATCTGAAAGTGGGCGAGGTAATGCTTTCAAACGAGAGATATAGGGAGAATGTTACACTGGATTGTGACAGAATATCTTTACGGTGGAATACATTAGTATTCAAATATTGAGGTAAAAAGATTCAGAGCCGTTCCGTTCTTCACAAATTTCAAAAGCAAATGTAATGAATTATGCAAGGTTTTCAGACAAAAAGAAGTCCACATGCACACTTAATGTTTTTTTACGCAGTCGTGGGGAGATTCTCTGCGGGAGGGCAAGTTGGCTACAAATCCGAATCGAAGTGTGTCAAAGACGTCGGGAGTAAACGCGGAGAAATTTAGGAAGAGTAGTCCTCTTTGTGTCGGCTTTGTCGATAACTGAACTAATACTCCTTTGAAACTTCAAAGCGTTTTACTCTTTACCTTACGCAGCAGGTAAAAATTCTGCCATTTGCGCAGTCTACACAGATATTGAGCGTTCAGATCTGATCAGATCCTGTCGACTCTGATAAAGAAGTGGTAATGTCAGTGAAACGATGAATCTGTTATGAATGTCATAAACTCATTTTACCTCTAGAAAACTGTTCACATCAATGGAAAAGCGCCAACTGGTCGCTATTACGTCATTGTGCATTTCTATCAACCGAACTTCCTCTCCTTCCTGGGAAAAGTTGTAATCAGTGGACAGAACGCTGCATCCACGCTGCTGACGTTCCATTACTGTCCCCACGTGTCGGGCTGTAGAGCCATAGGTACCTCACAGTACAGGGAGGGTATGCGTGAATCCATCTACGTTGGGCGACAGAACGACATACTTGTCAGTATAGCCATTCCTGAAGACAAAGGTGTATGGATTGTAAGTAGTCGCATGTGACTCCTCTCTGGTATTTACGACAAACAAACCGTCTATGTTACAGTCAAAAGTGTTTTTTAAGCAACGATCTTAGAGGAGAGTCGCTCACAACAGCCAGTCCTTAGTATGGTGACTGTGACACGTAGCGTCAAGGAGTATTTCCACATAACCCACGAGCAGTCCCTCTTTCTCAGAGAAATTTATTTCACTAGTTGGTACTTAGAGCACAATTCAATTAAGAGTTGTAAAATCGAAACCAAAGTTATCAAAACGGCCAATTAGAGAGGAGGAAAACATCCCAAGGAGCCACAAGGAACTCAGTGTGAAAACAAGCAAACTGCTCATAGCATGGGAAATCGCGTGTGACTTATAGCTTAGTTCGGATTGGTTTGGGCATTGATTCTGATTGGTTGACAAGGGAGTGGTAGTTGTTTAGTAATCCTCGATTACTTTCGACACTCAATTGAAAAGTGCATTAATCCAGCTTTCTTGTAGCTACAGTCAAGAATCATGTTGTCGGCTTCCGCTCTCTAGGGGTGCTCGCTGAACACAGGCTCGTTTTGAAGTTTATGCGAAGGAAAAGTTTTGGTAAAAGGCTATTGTGCGCATAATACTGAATATACGTCAGTTCAATACAGGTTTCAATGAAGATTAGGTCCAAATGAAGTAAGTGATAGGGAGAGTTGGGTGCCTCCCTTTATGAATAAAGAGAATGACTCTTGAATAAAACACGGAAGTGACTCTTTCAATTTTTAGTTGTATGGTGTAGTGGACTTACTATTATAAACGATTTTTTAAGAACAGGCTGAATTTTTACACTTTTTCTTACAGGATTACGTGTTATTGGTTCCAATCTCGTCCTTCTCACCATCCCTTCTGGATGTAAAACCAATTGATATCACACAAGATTTCATACAGGATTGTGGACAACGCAGCTTTTTCCTGAAAGAATCCACCTCGCAGTTCTGCCTTCGCTCTGCATTTATCCTTACAACTCGATTTAACGGCGGTGCATTATCATGCAACTGCGACAGCCTGGGAGCCATCAAAACAGGCTGTCAGCCATTCGGCGGACAGTGTGTATGCCGACCTAACGTGATTGGTCGCGCATGCGACAGATGTAGAAGCGGTTATAGCGGGTTTCCTTTCTGCAGGAGATTAAAGAAATTTCAAGCGATGGTCAAACAAATTTACCTGTACTTACAGTAGTTAGTAATATCGATGATTCTCACGGCTTTGGCATGGTATCATTTCAAGAGAGAATCACGATAAGAATTCGAGCTTACCCTATGGACCTTTATCCCGAGAGGATCCTTGTAAAGTTTTTTTTTTTCGAGGAGCGAGGTCGATACCAGCTGTTAGTTTCTCAGTCTAATCTTCTCTTGAGCATGCGCACCACTTTTAATATACCATATCAATTTCACAACGAAAGGCCACTTCGCAACGATGGGTAAACTTTAGGGTTGGCTCTTTACTCGTTCTGTTCAAACAAAATTGCATTGCAATATCATATTTTCACCTGTATATGTATAGCGATAAGATCTCGTTTTGGGTCTATGGTTAAAGAGTTAAATTTATAAATATATAGATATATAACTGCACACAGTACTGTTTCGGCCTTCTGAGCCTCTTCACTGCAGTGCTGATTCAAGGAGGTGAAGCCATAAAGCCACCCCAATGATTCCCCATTGATGGTATCATCTAAGCCACGCCAGAGGGCTCAAACTAGAAACTAGTGAGCTTCGCGCAATTGCACGACATGACTCGTCCTAGTAGAGTGCTCGATCTGAACATAAAAGCAAAGCTTTGAAAGGAAATAAAGAAAGACGGTTTCTAAGGTAATGTCAATAGGAATATTATTTCAACTGACGTATCATATTACTGATTCTTGTAACAACCTCGAGCTGCTCTGAGAATAACTGTCAAGCTTTATCGTTCGATTGTTAATGGAAACAGTTTCAAAGCCCTCAAACAGGTAACTACTACAACTGTGACTGAACAGGATACTGCTGGTGACACCTTTCATAAAAGACTTGTCAATGAGACTGGGTAGTCCGTGACTCAAATATCCCACGCCTTATTGGCAAAGAATTGCGAGGTCGAGCAATACCTCTCTCCGATTACAACAAACTACAAGTCACTGCCTTGTAGCTCGTGATTTATAAACAATCCGGAATCTGAAGGTTCGATTCCGCTCGGGAACTCACAAGATTTGGCCCATCAGAAAATGCTCCAATTTTTCCATTGTGCCAACGGCAAGTCATATTATTAAAAAAATCTGAACAATTTACAGATGAATATTTAGATGAAAGGGATATTGGAACTCAGTAAAGAATTCTCGTCAATCCCCATCAAATATTGATGGAAACGACACAAAGGTGTTTTCTACCGAGGTAGTCGTGGCCGAGTGGTTAAGGCGATGGACTTGAAATCCATTGGGGTCTTCCCGCGCAGGTTCGAATCCTGCCGACTACGGCGCATTTATCTTTAAATATTTACATTTTGAAATCTCATGTGTAGGCAAAAGGATAAAAGTAGATTACGCCACATCATTTTTTACTTCTGCAGTGATAGTAATCCTAATTTATGCACGAGTGAGTGGCGCGCACAACAAAAATCGCGGCTCTCTTATGGCCTAAGGATCGCTAGTGACTTCAATCGTGATTTTATTGTTAACGAGCTAAGTACAGTCGAACCTCGATTATCCAGACTTGTCGGGACGTCGGTAAATAGTCCGGATAATCGAAAATATGAATATTTATGAGATACAAATGTAAACAAAAGTATACAGCAAAGAAAACATTTTAATTGTGAAATCTACACAGCCTGTATGTATTTACACTGAATAAACACTTTCAGTTCAGGTACTTACAACCACGTTTGTTTGCTTCAAAGACTTGTAGCTTGATCGCATTGCGAAGTCCATCATTTGTCTTACATGCATTAACTGCACAGGGTCAATATCGTTCTGTGATTCCATCCACGTCGAGTATTTCTTGAAACATTGCGCTCATCTTCCTCATCGCTACATACACTTTCGCTTTCCGTCGAATCTCCGAGAACGGTGGCTAAAATCTCTTCATCAGACATTTGCGGGGAATTCGGGAGCTCGCTTTCCAGCTNTTGAGATACAATGAAATATATGAAGTTCATATATTTTGTACTGCGGTATTAGATACATATGATGCACGATCCTCGCAGTAGATAGCGCTATTTAAGCAATAGCGAAAATCAGACCTGAAAAAAATCAGGCCTGTACGGGATTTGAATCACTGACCTCTGCGGTTCTTAACGGCCTACTCCCAGTTGGCTTGTTAGCTCAATTGGTAGAGCGCTGCACTAGTATCACAGAGGTCAGTGGTTCGAATCCCGTACAGGCCTGATTTTTTTCAGGTCTGATTTTCGCTATCGCTTAAATAGCGCTATCTACTGCGAGGATCGTGCATCATATGTAGGTAATTCTATTATTGCCGTGAATGAGAGCCAGAGAAGACTAAAAAGGCCGACACAGGGCTGTCGTTAGGATTCCTTATCAATCTCTGAGTTTTTCATTTCTATTTCCAAACCATTTTCCCGACTCGTAGTAAGAGAAGATTGTCATTAACTACCTTCACTGGTAAATTTTGACCACTTAAAGAGGTTTGCTGTAAGGTGTCGAAAAAACATTTCAATTGCACAGGTTGTCTAAACGTCAGTCACTATCACCGACAACAGTCCTTCTCAGGACTACACTCACCCGGACGATCACACTACACTTTCACATGTTACCCCCGGGTTCAAGCCATTTACTGCATAATAATCTTTGTTTTAACAGACCTTTGTGATTACTTTGATTTGGTTTTTCGTTTTACGACACCTAGGAATACATTGACTGAGTGCTAATCTGTCCTTCGTTTCCTAGAGCAACTGCAGGTGTAAAGATAACGTGATGGGTGACAAGTGCGACAGCTGCAAACCATTGCATCTTAATCTTCACAAAAATAACCCGCTGGGTTGTCAGTCATATGGCTGCAACGCTAACGGAACTTTGGGATTGATCAAAACGTGTCACGAAATCACTGGACAGTGCTCCTGTAAGAGTCACGTGATTGGTCGCCACTGTGACCAATGCAAAGATGGATATTACAGTATCGGAGGACCGAATGCATTCGGTTGTAAACGTAAGTAATTCTCCATCTTAAGCATATAACCATTTTAACTCCTCTTGAATTCCCCTTATGATATCCGTACATGATTCAACAAACAGGTAATGAGAATACTCAAGTAGAAGCTGCTACCTTGATCGAAGATCAAACATCTCATAACTAAATTACAGGGAAATGTGTAGCAGCTGTAGGGGAGAATTGAACGCTAAATCTTGGGGGTTAACGGGTTAAGTAAACTCCGCGAAGTCAAGTATTTTAATCAAGGTTTTTAGTAACCTGTTTTTAACATTCCTACGTACATTTTGGACGTTTTTCATGCTTCACGGTCAATCAGCTGCTATGCAATCTCAAGCGCAGATTATAAGAAGAGAAACAGGAAAGAAACATGTCAATCATGGTATATGAACTTTCAGTCTTGGAAAAGTCCATTTTGACTTTCAATAAATGTGCATTTGGTGTCAGCTTCAATTATAGTTGTAACCATTTCCAAAAGGAAAATGAGTCGAATTCATCCAAATAATTTTGTTAAATTAAGTTCGGAAAAGTTAGAACTTTATAGTATCTAAGTCATTTCAAAATAAAGTAATTTAGTTAGCAGAACGAGGTTTTGATCTTCGGAACTCTGGTTTATGGGCCCAGCACGCTTCCGCTGCGCCATTTTGCTGCTGATGGAAAAGTAATATCGAAACATAGGATTTGCGGTCTTTCATGAGTTATTTTACCTTTGAGTCACACACTTGCACCTTTCGTACAATTGCTTGGCAGTCTTGGGGAAGTCCATTGTGACTTAAAATATTAGCACTTTTTTTTGCAATCAGCTTCATTTATATTTGTGACCCTCTCCGTAAGAAAAAAAAAGGTCGACTCCCTCCCAAATAATTTTGTTCAATTTTTTTTTTAGAAAATTTTGAACTAAAAAGTATCTATTTAATATGAAAAAAAAAATAGAAGATTACTAGCAGAGCGAGGTTTTGATCCTCGGACTTCTGGGTTATGGGCCCAGCACGCTTCCACTGCGCCACTCTGCTGCTCACAGTCAAAGCTACACGATTGGACCAGGATTTACTGTAAAATGGGGTCGACAGGCCTTCACGACTCCCCAGCACGTGTCTAGAATAGCGTATTCAAAGTTTGGCCCTCACGAGTATGTCTTTGAGCGACCGTCCTCTTTTGTAAGATACGAGGGGTGGATTTTTGTATATTTCTCTCAGTAGTGATTGTGTTTCTATTAAATGCCAGTTTCTCTAGAGAATTTTCTGTAGGTTTGGCACTGATGGTTGGTTTTGTGTAACAAAAGGCAAGATTCGTTGATTCGTCTTCTGTTTCTGTTGAAAAGGGGCCTTAAGGGGGGGTCACGCGCACAGTTCACGGCAATTAAAAAAAGCAAATCACGAAACGCGATAATTAATTTTCGAGTTTCACGGTTCACGGAAAATAAACTTACACATGAGAAATTCACGGTTCACGAATTTTAAAACTTTTAGATTACGGATCACAGAAAATAAATTAATCCGATCACGTTTCACGTGAAACCCCCTTACGGCCCCTCGTTGAAGAGTTAGTTTCCTGTTTTTGAAATTCACCTTTGAGAGGGTTGTGTTAATGAAGTCCTCTGGGTAGCCTCTCTTTAGCAAATGAGCTTTGAAATTTGCAATTTTCTCCTCGAATATCGTTTGAGAGGAGTTTGTTCTGAGAACTCTAAGGGCCTGCCCTTTTATGAAGCCTTTTTTAACTCCTTGTGGGTGACAGGAACTATAATGTGTATACTGAAATGTCTCAGTTTGTTTAAAATGAGTAC